TTTGCCCCGTGCAGAGGATCTCTGTTCTCGGCATGGAGATAGACTCGGTCGCCATGTCTGCGCAGCTCACGAACGAGCGCGCGCACTCACTGCTGACTTGTCTTCGACAGTTCGAGGGCAAGAATGCGGTTCCACTGAAACTATTTCAGAGGCTCCTGGGGCATATGGCATCCGCGGCCGTGGCAACGCCGCTCGGTTTGCTTCATATGAGACCGCTTCAGCTGTGGCTTCGCGATCGAGTCCCGAGGTGGGCATGGCATCGCGGTTCGCTCCGAGTTCCAGTGACTCCAGCATGCCGCCGAACCTTCTTCCCGTGGTCGAACCTCAGCTTCTTACGGACCGGCGTCCCTATTCAGCGAGTTTCCAGGCATCTCGTTGTCTCCACGGATGCGTCTACCACGGGTTGGGGTGCCATGTGCAATGGGCATGCAGCCGCCGGTTCCTGGACAGGAGCCCAGCGCCTCATGCACATCAATTGCCTCGAGCTGCTGGCAGTACGGCTCGCCCTGCACCGCTTCCGAGCGTTGCTCTCGGGCCAGCATGTGCTTGTCCGTTCAGACAACACTACGGCAGTAGCGTACATCAACCACCAGGGGGGTCTACGCTCGCGCCGGTTGTCGCAGCTCGCCCGCCACCTCTTGATATGGAGTCAGAAGCACCTGAGGTCCCTTCGTGCAGTATACATTCCTGGAGACCGGAACCTGGCAGCCGACGAGCTGTCATGGGTCCGTCCCATCTCCGGCGAATGGCGACTCCATCCCCAGTCGGTCCAGCTGATTTGGGACCAGTTCGGGGAGGCACAGATAGATCTGTTCGCCTCTCGGGACTCATCCCACTGCGCCCGGTTTTATTCCCTGACCGACGGTTCGCTCGGCACAGATGCACTGGCGCACAGCTGGCCGCGGGGCCCACGCAAGTATGCGTTTCCCCCAGTGAGCCTCCTTGCACGGGTGTTGTGCAAGATCAAGGAGGACGAGGAGCAGGTCTTGCTGGTAGTCCCCTATTGGCCCACCAAGACGTGGTTCTCCGAACTCATGCTCCTCGCGACAGCACCTCCTTGGCCTATTCCTCTGAGACAAGATCTACTCACTCAGAGACGGGGCACTCCGTGGCGCCCTCGTCTTGATCCTGGAGACTACACGTGTGGCTCCGGGATGGGACGGGGCAGGTTTGAGTTCGTTGCCACCTGCGGTGGCGGCAACCATCACTTCCGCTAGAGCGTCGTCCACGAGACACCTGTACGCGTTGAAGTGGAACCTCTTCGTCAGCTGGTGCTCTTCTCGCTGAGAAGACCCCCGGAGATGTTCGATCGGAGTCGTGCTTCCTTCCTGCAAGAGGGCTTGGAGCGTAGGCTGTCGCCCTCCACCCTTTGGATTTATGTCGCGGCCATTGCCGCGTTTTATGATGCAGTGAAAGGTAAGTCTATGGGAAGCATGACCTGGTCATCAGGTTCCTGAGGGGAGCGAGGGGGCTAAATCCGCCTCCCTTCCCTCCTGCCCTCTGGGGACCTCTCAGTAGACCTGCGTGCTCTGCAGAGGCCTCCCCTGGAGCCTTTGCAGTCGGTAGAGTTTTTGCCCTGTCCTATGTAGACAGCACTCCTGATTGCATTGGTCTCCATCAGGAGAGTAAGGGACCTGCACGCACTCTCTGTTGACGAAGTGTGCCTGGAGTTCGGGCCGGCTTACTCTCACGTATTCCTGAGACCCCGGCCTGGATATATGCCCAAGGTTCCTACCACTCCCCTCCGGGACCAGGTGGTGAACCTGCAAGCGCTGTCCCTGGAGGAGGCAGACCCAGCCTTGGCACTGCTCTGTCCGGTACGTGCTCTCCGCACCTATGTCGACAGAACGCAGCGTTTCAGGACCTCAGACCAGCTGTTTGTCTGTTATGGAGGGAGCCAGAAGGGAAGGGCTCTCTCAAAGCAACGGCTGTCCCACTGGATAGTGGACGCCATCGCTTTGTCTTACCAGCAGCTAGGCCGGCCGTGCCCCCTTGGTGTGACGGCCCATTCCACTCGGAGTGTGCCCTCCTCTTGGGCTCTAGCGCATGGCGCCTCGCTAACAGACATCTGCAGAGCTGCAGGCTGGGCGACACCCAACACCTTCGCCAGATTCTATAATCTGCGAATTGAGCCGGTGTCCTCTCACGTACTCGTTTCGGCGTTCTGGACCTGCTCAGGTGTCTTCGCTTGCTCGCCACTCCACTCCCCGGACTGGATAAGTGCGATATTCCTCAGTTCTTCCTTTGAAGTCTTGAGTCCTCCAGCACCGACGATGCGGGCACCACTGCTGTTGCTCTGGATGCTGGCTAGGTGCCTCCATGCGTACGGTTCCCCCATGGTAACCGTCTCATGTGTATTATCCACTGTAAGACTCTCTGAGCATGTGTCTTCCCTTGGCAAGCCATCTGCCACCCCTGGAGTTAAATTCTAGTAGCCACCTGCGGTTGGTGCTCCAGTGATCTCCATATGCGTTCCTATGCGGTCATATGTGTATTTGGTCGTAAGTCCGTAAGTCCTCCTTCGGTAGGCATCTGGTAGCATGTCCCTCCCGGGATATGTTTCCCAGTGTACCTTGGTAATCCTGTGTCAAAGTAGGATCCCTAAAAAAAAAAAAAAAAAAAAAAAAAAAGGGAGGGGTCCAGACTTTCGCAGGGCACTGGAAGACAGCTTGAAGATGGCGTGATGGCACAGACCCCCAATCTCCGTCACTTCTGACGTAACTCGAAGTGACTATGAAAGGGAACGTCTCGGTTACGTATGTAACCCTCGTTCCCTGAGTAGGGAACGGAGATGTTACGTCTCCCTGCCACTTCTGCTGTACCGCTGGGTAGACGCCGAGTTCAGTCTTGGCTCCTCAGCGAAGACATACTGCAGTTGCGTTCACTTCCTCCTTTTATAATCACGGAGTAGGGCGGAGTACGCTATGCAAATTTCCGCAGCCCCAAGGCATTGCATGCCATTGGCTCGTTTTTAAATACTCGAAGAGGATTGGCTTTCTATGCGAAACCCCCAATCTCCGTCACTTCTGACGTAACGTCTCCGTTCCCTACTCAGGGAACGAGGGTTACATACGTAAACGAGACGTTTTCTCTTCCTCGGAATGTAAGCAGTGAGAGGCTGGTTGAATAAAAGTGTAAAGTATTTTTTTAAGTAATCCCAGCGTCTGAGCACTGTGCTGATTTGCTGAAGTTAAAATTAGGTGAAAAGGAGATAAAATATATAAAAAATATTAAAGCGATAGAGCAAAGCGCGGAGCAGTAAGCAGGAGCGTCCGAACAGTAGCTGAGCTGGAAGTAAACAAACCATCTGTATTACATCTGTTTTTTATTTGTTGAATATTAATAAAATTTTTAATCTGACATTTTTGGATTTCCAAATTCGGAGAACAGACACAGTCTCTATATGATATCTCGGTGAAAGAGCCTCTATGTGATGGGATTTATCTGACCTTGGTGACGCGAGGCCACTAGCAGACAGTCGATTTTGCCAGTTTGTCTGCTTCCTGACCTGGTGCCAATTTGTCATGCTTTAGATGAAATCAAATGTAGATATCTCAAGACCTCGGCAGAGGAGGATTAAACAACTCCACAAACAGCATTACCAGCTTCACGTATTACAAACAAGATTGACACTATTTCTGCCACAAGTCTGGAGAATTTGCATTCTCATAGATAACTATTAGGGGTGCACGATATATCGAATCAATATCGTTTTCGCGATATCACGTTGCTCGATATACATATCGAAAGTCTCGCGATATTTATGCAATATTTTGTTTATGATGCGTCCGTCACCGTTTCATTTCCCCCGATTCATTTCCTGATTCTCCTTCTCCATAAACAACATGAAATCAAGGAGAGGTTTAACTTTTCAAGCTACAGATTTCCCACAGTGGTCAGAAAGATCAGGGGAGACACTTTGTTTTTCTCAAGAGTCGCTATTCGCTTCAAAGCTAATCGCCGTCACTCTCTCACTTCTCACTTGCTCTACTACCACACAGTCCCCCCACACACACACTTGCCCCGGCCGGCTCGACGCGCACAAGCGTAAACATCAGGCCACCTGGCAACTTCATGCGTTCATCACTGATCAGATATCTGATTTATCAAAATACGATCTTCAATTCCCGCGCTATATGCAGATTTAATGGAGTGCACGTACATCACCGAAAGCAACAGTTATGGGCTGCATACGATCATCAGGTAAAATAAGATCGTTCATTTACTTTTAATAAAGATAACTGTGTGAAAAGCGTCTGCGACTTACTTTCACTTTGATTTGCTCTAGTTTGCGCGTTGGCATGATGAAGAGATGCTCAGCTGATCTGCGGTGATGCGTGTTGCTGTTGCGCGCGTCGTCATATCTGGCCATAACATGACAAGCCTGTAACGTTCTCATTTTTAGTGTTTTTGGAAGGAGTACATTTTACATATGTGGTTTATTCAATAACGAGATGCATTTACATTTGTCCAGTTTCGTCTGAAATGCGGCCCAGACCACCTCCTGAAGTGGTTTGAGCGATTAGATTCAAATATGTCACAAATGCGTTTCACAGGGCATTTACACCTGGTCTTTTCACGATCAGATAGTTATCCGGTCAAAGAAAACGCATATAGTGGTGTTTATGTTGCATATAGTGTGTTCTGTGGACTTGCTTATTTATTGTCTTCTTTTACACTGTAGTGTAGGCCTATACAACTAGTAAAACATGTCCTGTTCTGTAGACATGGTTATTATTTATTTATTCATGCTGTACCAGTCCAATATGACCGTCAGTTGAAATAAACCTTATGTTGTAAGAACTTGTTTTATTTATTAATCTTTTTTGATGTGTTTTCCTATAACTTTTGTAGTTTTACATCCATTTTAAAATATCGTAATTATTATCGATATCGCAATATTCATTATCGATATCGCAATATCACATTTTTGTCAATATCGTGCACCCCTAATAACTATTGCAACTTATTCATTGTTTCATATACTGAATCTGATTCTTCTACATATTTCCATCCAGTGACTCTTCCTCCAATGGCTCCCTCAAGAGCAGCAGCTCCAAGAAAAACTCGCAGAATCGCAGGACCTGCTGCTGTTCCTGCTGCCACAAATGCTGCAAATGCTCCTCCTGCTGCCTCAACTGCTGCAGCTGTTCCTCCTGCTGCCTCAACTGCTGCAGCTGTTCCTCCTGCTGCCTCAAATGCTGCAGTTGCTCCCCATGCTGCCTCAAATGCTGCAGTTGCTCCCCATGCTGCCTCAAATGCTGCAGTTGCTCCCCATGCTGCCTCAAATGCTGCAGTTGCTCCCCATGCTGCCTCAAATGCTGCAGTTGCTCCCCATGCTGCCTCAAATGCTGCAGCGGCTCCTCCTGCTGCCCCAGCGGCTCCTCCTGCTGCCCCAGCGGCTCCTCCTCCTGCTGCCCCAGCGGCTCCTCCTCCTGCTGCCCCAGCGGCTCCTCCTCCTGCTGCCCCAGCGGCTCCTCCTGCTGCCCCAGCGGCTCCTCCTGCTGCCCCAGCGGCTCCTCCTGCTGCCCCAGCTGCTCCTCCTGCTGCCCCAACTGCTGCAGCTGCTCCTCCTGCTACCACTGCCTCAAATGCTGCTGCTGCTCCTGCTGCCAATGCCTCAAATGCTGCTGCTGCTCCTGCTGCCGTTGCTTAAAATGCTGCTGCTCGTCCTGTAGCCGCTGCCTCAAATGCTGCTGCTGCTCGTCCTGTAGCCAACGCCACCGCTGACACCACAACTCGAGCTGAATCTGGTAACTTGGATTTCAGCAAATTCTTGTATACTTTTTTGTGTTGAACACTCCTGTAATCAACCACACTTGTAACTGATTTATTAAGAAAGTGGTTTATAAAGAAAGACATCACCATTGTTATTGTATCTGATTTATTAAGATAGTGGTTTATAAAGAAAAACACTACAATTGTTATTGTAACTTATTTTTAAGAAAGTGGTTTATAAAGAAAAACATCACTATTGTGATTGTATCTGATTTATTAAGAGAGTGGTTTATAAAGAAAAACATCACCATTGTTATTGTAACTGATTTATTAAGATAGTGGTTGTACCCAAGGACGACTTTCTGGAAAACAACGAGGGAAACCAGGACAGCATTTTACACCCTCCAATAACACCAGAGCAACAGCCCATCTCACCTGACACGTTATCCGTCTCTCCAGCATCTCCACTTCTGTGCTTCTCAGAGAAAATGGAACAACTGTTGTCTGCTGGAACCAAACTATCACACTCTTTTGCTGCAAGCCCCCAGATACCAACCAAAAAACGGCAGGCCCCAAAACCACCAAAGCTTTCGGGCCCAGCTCGCCCTCCCCCTCCCCCTCCTCGGAGAGCTCTTCGGCCTCTGCCACAGCGCCAGGGCCCACAGCCTCCCCCATCGGCTCGAGGTGAACCAAAAACAACTGATACCAGCTCTAAGTGAAATATTTCGGTTCCTCGCTATGAAAACAATAACTTTATCAAATGTTTACAGAACAAGCGGGAACCCAGTGTGCCTGAATCTTTCTCTATTGCTGTTCATTTACATGATAGAAAATCTAAGGCCTTCAACAGCCGTACAGCAAACCCATCTAATCTGGTGCCCATTACACGCCAAACTAAGACTGCTGTGAGGACAAAAAGTAAGACTATAAAGTTAGCACTTTTAAACATCCGCTCCATTAAAAATAAATCACTTCTAGTCAATGACTTAATAACCACACACAACCTGGACTTCATGTTTCTAACTGAAACTTGGCTAGAAGACAGCTGTAGTGCAACGGTCCTAAACAAAACATCCCCTCCAAATTTTACTTATATGAGTGTCTGCAGAGCGGGTAAGAGAGGTGGCGGCTTAGCTGCTCTTTTTAAAGATGTTTATGAATGTAAGCAAATATCATTTGGGAATTACCCCTCTTTCGAATATCTGGGTATTGTGTTAAAAGGTGCTCCACGTATTTTACTTATCATAGTTTACAGGCCCCCAAAATACTCTCCAGCCTTTGCTGAGGATTTTACTGAATTGCTATCAACAATTGCCTCTGAGTTTGACTGTTTTGCCATTGCTGGAGATTTTAACATTCACATAGATAACGCAGAAAACAATATGGCAAAAGAAATCAAAACTGTTTTAAAAACTTTTGATCTGACACAGTATGTACACGGTCCCACACACAATCGTGGACACACTCTAGATTTACTTATCAGTACGGGTTTAAACATCTCATCGATTGTTATTAAGGATGTAGCACTGTCTGACCATTTCTGTATTTTCTTTGATATATTAATCTCTCCTGCCGTTGAAGCTAGAGCTGTGTCTGTCAAGAAGAGATGCTTAAATGAAAACACTGGTGTGCTATTTATGAAGGCTATAGCTTTAAAACCAAGCATATCTGCTGACTCTGTTGATTTTCTCCTTGATTCTTTTAACTCAAAAGTTAAGAGTGTAATTGATGATATTGCTCCTGTGAAAGTCAGGAAGAATAGTGGCAGACAAAAAGCACCTTGGAGAAACTCAACAGCTGTGCAAAATATGAAAAGACAATGCAGAAGAGCCGAACGCATGTGGCGGAAGACAAAACTTGTAGTCCATTATAACATCTACAAAGACAGCATCCACGCTTTCAATAGGGAACTAGGCAAAGCCAGACAGAATTTCTTCTCAAATATTATAAACAGCAATATAAACAACACACGCACTCTTTTTGCTACTGTAGAGAGACTGACAACCCCCCCAAGCCAGATTCCCATAGAAATGCTCTCAGACAGCAAGTGCAGTGAGTTTGCTTCTTTCTTTTCTGAGAAAATCAATAACATCAGAAAGGTGATCAGCACATCCTTGAGTTGCTCTGGGGTCAGGCAGATCAGACCACAACCTGAGAAAGTAGTTACTATGTCTGATTTCGAAGAAATTGATGACACAATTTTGGTAGAAACCGTACAGCACCTTAAAACATCAAACTGCGCCCTTGACACACTTCCCACATCTTTTTTCAAAAGTGTGTTAAACTGTTTAGAAGCAGATCTCCTAGAAGTGGTAAATGCCTCACTTCGCTCTGGGAATTTTCCGAACTCCCTGAAAACTGCAGTTGTCAAGCCCCTCCTGAAAAAGAGCAATCTGGATAAGACCATCTTGAGCAATTATAGACTGATCTCAAATCTTCCTTTCATAGGCAAGATCATTGAAAAGGTCGTCTTCAATCAGCTGAACAAATTCTTAAGCTCAAATGGATATTTTGACAATTTTCAATCTGGTTTCCGATCGCATCACAGCACGGAGACAGCTCTCATAAAGATAATAAATGACATTCGCTTAAATACTGATACAGGCAAATTATCCGTGTTGGTACTACTCGACCTCAGTGCTGCATTTGACACTGTTGATCACAACATACTTCTTGACAGGCTGGAAAACTGGGTGGGGCTTTCTGGGATAGTCCTAAAATGGTTCAGGTCATACTTAGAAGGGAGAGGTTATTTTGTGAGTATGGGAGAACATAAGTCTGAGTGGACATCCATGACTTGCGGAGTCCCTCAGGGCTCGATTCTTGCGCCACTCCTATTCAACCTGTATATGCTCCCAATGAGCCAAATAATGAAAAAGAACCAAATAGCTTACCACAGCTACGCAGACGACACACAGCTCTACTTAGACCTATCACCTAACGACTACAGCCCCATTAACTCCCTGTGCCAATGCATTGATGAAGTAAACGGTTGGATGTCAAAACTTTCTGCAGTTAAACAAAGACAAAACTGAAGTTATTGCGTTTGGAAACAAAGATGAAGTTCTTAAGGTGAATGCATACCTTGACGCTAGGGGTCTAACAACTAAAAATCAAGTCAGGAATCTTGGTGTGTCACTAGAGTCAGACCTTAGTTTCAATAGTCATGTCAAAGCAATAACTAAATCAGCATACTATCATCTGAAAAATATTTCAAGAATTAGATGCTTTGTTTCCAGTCAAGACTTAGAGAAACTTGTGCATGCTTTCATCACCAGCAGGGTGGATTACTGTAATGGCCTCCTCACTGGCCTTCCTAAAAAGACCATAAGACAGTTGCAGCTCATACAGAACGCTGCTGCCAGGATTCTGAGCAGGACCAGAAAATATGAACACATCACACCAGTCCTCAGGTCTTTACACTGGCTGCCAGTTACATTTAGGATTGATTTTAAAGTATTATTACTGGTATATAAATCATTTAATGGGTTAGGACCTCAATATATTGCAGATATGCTCACTGAATATAAACCCAACAGATCACTCAGATCATTAGGATCACATCAGCTAGAAATACCAAGGGTTCACTCTAAGCATGGAGAGTCTGCTTTTAGCTATTATGCCAGCCGCAGCTGGAACCAGCTTCCAGAAGAGATCAGGTGTGCTCCTACAGTAGTCACATTCAAATCCAGACTCAAAACACATCTGTTTAGCTGTGCATTTACTGAATGAGCACTGTGCCACTGTTCGTCCGACTGTTACTGCACTTCATTTTATTCTAAATAGTTTTAATTTACTCTATTTTATTTTTATCATAATTCATTATTTATATTTTTCATTATTTCTTATTTTTTATTCTAAACTGTTTTAATTATTCTGATTTATTTTGATTATTTTAATTTCTTCTATGTAAAGCACTTTGAATTGCCATTGTGTATGAAATGTGCTATATAAATAAACTTGCCTTGCCTTGCCTTGCACATTACAAATATGATATAATATATAAACTGAATAAGCAATGCTTTATTTATATGCCAAACATATGGTCGGCAGTGTAGGGAGAAGGATAAAAGCCATGCAAGCCAATCAGAATCCTCAGAATCGACAAGAGAGAACCTAAAACCCCGTTCCCTTTCGTAGTCATTCGGAGTTACGTCTGATGACGGAGAATGGGGGGTTTTGCATAGAAAGCCAATCATCTTCGAGTATTAAAAAACGAGCCAATGGCAATGAAATGCCATGGGTCTGCAGAATTTGCATAGCACATCTCCGCCCCACCGTGTGGGTATATAAGGAGAATGTGGACGCAAAGGAAGTTATGTTTTCGCTTTGGAGCCAAGAGCATCTCTTCACTCCTCAAGCCAAAAGACCTGAGTTTTCATTCAGTGACTCACTCTTCGAGACGAGCGAACTCTCCGATGTTGCAGAGTTCCTGTCTTTTTAAAGATGTCTCGCCCGTGTTCTTCTGGATGCGGTCGATTCCTGTCCTGTGCTCTCTGCAGTGTTGCAACAGTGTTGCCCCCTCTGCAGCGAGCATCGGGCTGGAGTGGAACCCTCCGCCCTGCCCCAAGCACTCGCGGTTGGATGATTGGTTTTTGGGTGCGGCTGCGGATTCACGGCCTCAGCCAACCCCAATTCCTTTCTTCCCGGAAGTGCACGAGGAGCTGTTGAAGTCATGGAAGGCTCCCCTGACCTCCCGCAAACCTTCTCTGCCTTGGGTACACTGGGATTCCCCCTGTGTAGCGCTCTGTTGCGATGCAACTGTGTCCTCAGAGCGCTTCCTCTCGTGGTAATCCTAAGCACCCGTCCAAGGCCTGTAGATTCTCGTCTACCCTGGTGGCGAGGTCTCACAGAGCTACAGGACAGGCGGCTGCTGCTCTGCATGCGATGAGCACCGTACATGTCTACCAGGCCCAGCTGCTCAGAGATATGCACGAGGGCAGGACTGACCCAGGGCTCTTCGATGAGCTGCATGCCGCCACTGACCTCGCTCTCCATGCGACAAAAGTGGCCTCAGGCTCCCTGGGTCAGGTGATGGCCACTAACGTGGTCAAGGAGTGTCCCCTGGCCGATGTGCGGGGGATCTGCTCGACGCCCCCATATCTCAAGCCGGCCTCTTCGGTGGTGTGGTTGAGGACATCGCCCAGCAGTTCTTGAGTTCCCAGTAGTTCTAAGTAGTATAAAGTAGTTCAGCATTACATTAATTAATTTGCACGTGAGTTATTTATTTTATATTCCGGACGCCCGCACCGGTTCATTTTACTTCGTCTACAATGGATACAATTTATGTTTGATTATGTTCCTGGAAATGACGATGGTAATCTAGCTCTCTGTGTTGCGCATTTACGGAAGACAGCTTCCAGAATCTCCACGAGTTCAACACCGGATTCAACAAGAAACTGTTACTAAAACATGAAGCAGATCCAACTTTAAAACCAGAGGCAGCAGTTGTTGGGCCACAACCTGTAAGTAGGCTAAGACTTCATCATTTTAAATGTATTTCCATTTATAATTCCAGACATAATGTTGCCAGCGCTGGCTTTATATCCACTTAGTTATGCTGTTTTGTGTCCACAACAAACGCGTACAAACATTAAGGACCTGAATTTGCATATGTACTAATGTTGTAAATGTATTTTCATGTATGCTTTAAGACATTATTTTCGATTTGATCA